TCGTGTCCGGAGAGGCAAACAGGTCTACCTGTGCGACTTCGAAAACACTCCAGTGCTGCTCTGCCACGCCCACCTCGGGACTCGATCGTGAAGCCAGTGCTGGAGCGGCCTCATATGTAACAGGCCGAGCATCATTACTGCGGCTGCCATATGCCCCAGGAGCCTCTGAAATTGTTTCAGTGGAACCGCTGTCCTGCCTCGAAAAGACCTGAGGCAGGTGAGCACTGACTGGACACGCTCCTCCGTGAGGCGCGCAGTCTGGGCGACCGAGTCCAACTCCATACCGAGATAAGAGATCCTCTGCATGAGGCAGAGTTTGCTCTTGTCCCAGTTGACCTGAAGCCCCAACCGGCTGAAGTGCCGTAGCACCATGTCCCTGTGATCGCACAACACATCTCGCGAGAGCCAGAATGAGCCAGTCGTCGAGATAGTTGAGAATGCGAACGCCTTGTTCTCTCATGGGAAACAATGGCCGCCTCCGCGACTTTCGTGAAGACACGGGGCGACAGGGGCAGCCTGAAGAGTAGGACCTTGTACTGATACGCTCGACCCTCGAAAGCAAAACCGTAGAAACGGTCTGTGACGAGGAAAAATCGAGACGTGAAAGTACGCGTCCTTCAGGTCGATCGCTGCAGACGAATCCTGGGGACGGATGCATTCGAAAATGCGCTTCTGCATGAGCATTTTGAACGGGAGTTTGTGCAGGGCCCGATTCAAAACTCGCAGGTCCAGGATTGGTCGTAACCCACCGCCTTTCTTGGGTACAATGAAGTAGGGGCTGTAAAACCCGGACCTCATCTCGGCAGGAGGGACCGGCTCGATCGCGTCCTTCGCCAGCAGGACATCGATCTCTTTCCGCAGGACAGGGGCATCCACTGACCGCACACGAGTGAAGTGGATGCCCCCTGAACCTGGATGGCCGGTGTGCAAACTGACTTGCATAGCCGAACCGAATGGTGCGGACGAGCCATCGGGACAGACCCGGAAGCGCTAGCCAGGCTTCCAGGTACCGACCCAATAAGCCCACCCGAACCACCGGCGTACCCGCGGAGGGGCAGCGAGGTGGAAGGCCGGGACCTGGCTCCAGTGGCAATGTAGCCACTGGAAGCGGGGTCTGAGTGGTCCACCGTGGGGCAGACGGCAGAGAGAGCTCGTAGGCTTTCTGCTGCGGGCTGCCCTGTGGCGAAGGGAGGGGGAGAGACAAAGAACGAGGCCCCTGACTCCTCGTGTCCTGGTCTCTGCGCCTCCGGGCCCAGCTGCAGACCGGAGCGACGCAGCCGAGGCTGCGTCACTGCTATCTGCAAGCTGGGGAGAGGGGAACGGGAGTGGTGCAGCTCGGGGGCGGCACACACTGCCATTCTGACCCTCTCGGACGGAGGAAACTGGTCTTATTATACTGCCAGTCTCGACCGTGAAGGGAAACGAGGAACGAGGCCCGGGGGCATCGAGTCCTGGTTTCCCCTCACCCAGCGAGAGACGAGAGTGACAAGGCCGCAGCCCTCACTGCCATCTGAGCGCTGGGGCCCGTGAACGACTCAGAGGAAGTGGACTGCTCATGGGTACCGCTGATTACAGGATAACCAGCAGCGGAACAGAAACGAAATTCTCCACCCGGCCCTCCCCCGGGGAAGGAGTGGTGATGACACGCACCTCCCAAAGAGCAGAACGTCACATACTCTGGGTCGCTCCTCTCAGGGTTGTTTCCCTTCCCTTTGCTGGGGGAAAACAAACTCCGAGCGGGCTGACTTTGAGGTGCTTCTGGACCACCAGTGTGGACATCGTCTAACCGAGGGCCAGCGCTGTGACTAATCACGGTCAGTCACTAAGCACAGCTCAACCCCCGAGTTAGAACTACGCACGTGCAGTGGTAGTGAGAGAGGAAAAAACTTCTGCAGATTTAGGCATGTTTGGCTTGCCATATTGGCACCAAATGCTTCCATACTGCCAAAATTCTTCACACACATCCAGGCGCTTTAGAACAGCCCAGGATAGTGTGGCCGTTAAGTCTGAATCTTCAGCATGAGAACACACCATTATGGTAGGAACTCAGCATCATTTTCAGAGTATAACCGCCCTCCCTCCGATGTAGCGATCGACATCTGTCCTCCCTGGGGCCCCGAATGAAAATGCCTGGTCCCTCATGAGAAGGACCTGAAACCCATTCGAAAGCCTCGACGGCACACGGCACGCTGAGCTGCTCCAACCTTTACGAGAAAGGGGAGGCGAACAACGTGCCGACGTGGTCATGCACTCCTAAGAGAACATGAACCACCCACGAATGCAGTCTCAACACACTGATTAGGCATGTGAAACCGTGATCGTGGCCGTCAACCAGGCATGCAAGATAGTGAACGTGGCCATTGCTTCGATGACAAACGGCACGCTGGACGCTCAAGCCCTCAGGCAGGCGAACAACGTGCCGACGTGGTCATGCTCTCATAAGAAAGCATAAACCACCCACGAACACAATCTCAGCATGTTTGCGATGTGCTAGAGGAGTGAGTGGTTCGTGCTCACTGAAACCCTCAGATCACCAATGTTATTCGCCCAAAGCAGCCCTCCTCTGTGCACCAGAAGAGAAACTGGATCGGGAAATAAGCAAAGGGACTCACCTCATAGAGGCATGCGAGTCTTGATCTTGACCACGCATCTGAGTGCCGAATGACGCGCGCTGGGTTGCCGTGACATCCCGCGCTGTCAGCCGGCGCTCGACGGCACACGGCACGCTGAGCTGCTCCAACCTTTACGACAAAGGGGAGGCGAACAACGTGCCGACGTGGTTATGCACTCCTAAGAGAACATGAACCACCCACGAACATAGTCCTCACACACTGATTAGGCATGTGAAACAATGAACGTGGCCGTCAAATAAGGACAGGAAACGATCGCATCCAGAAACACAAGTGAAACGTCATCCTGAAAAGGGACGCGATCTTCACTCGTGTTGCTCTTTCAGGAAGAAAGTACTCTCTCTATCGTGCTGAAGCACACAGGGACCCAACGCGGCAACACAGCGGGGAAACTGCAAGCCCGCTGTGCGCACTCAAACCGTTTACCAGCTGTGAAAACAGCTTTTTGAATTAACAGCATATAGACGCAGCCGGCAGACAGGAAACCGCGCGGTCGCTGAAACGCCATCTCACCAACACAGAGAGATCCCCTCCCGAAACAGCAGACTCGTAGTTGTAAGAAAGATACATTTCTTAAAGCTCACTCACTCAGAGAGGACACAATCGGACGGCTCCGAAGCTAAAAGCATTGCGCAATGTTTACTTCCGCCCTTTATACCCGCGTTGGTAGGCGGGTCGCGGAATGCAAACCTTGCATGCCAATTTTCATTGGCTCGTTTTAATTCACTCGAAGGCAATTGGTCTCCCTAGCGTGATCCCAATTCGTCAGGGAACTCCCGACAACACGTTGGAGTTCCCAGGACGAAAGGGAACTGAACTTTTAGATATGTGGAGGATTAAACATAATACTGCCAGACAATATACTTGGGTAAAAGTATCTGATAATAGAGTGAGTGCTGCCCGGTTAGACAGAATTTGTCTAAATGTTTTAGTAATCGGGTTACCGAGTGCTCAATTTTACCAGTGGGTTTTTCAGATCATCATATGTTTTTTATGTCGTTAGTTTTGTCACAGTCTTCAAGGAAATCTTCATATTGGCACTTCAATGCCAAATTATTGCAATGTTAATTTTCTGTAAACATTTTGAAGTTTTCTGGGAATGTTGAAAAAAAAAACTAAACATACTTTTGAAAATTGAAGACAATGGTGGGAAATTGGGAAAACACAAATACAAATGTTATGTAAGCAATATACAGTTATTTCCACAAATATGATAAAAAAGCTACTCAAACTCTTGAAAGATCTATAGTTTCAATCGAGAAAGATTTGTTGGATAGACATGATCCTGGTTTGTCTCATTGTTTACAATAAAAAAAGAGTGAGTTGGGGTCCTTTTTAAATGAAAGGGTAAAAGGAGCCTTGGGTGAGGTCTCGTTTTAATTGCAGTAAATGAGATGGATGCTCCAAGTGCATATTTTTTAACTTGGAACGTTCAGCAGCAACAGCACAAACAAATGGCCTGCCTCCTTCTGCCTGATGGAAGGGTCACCACGAACATTGCAGAAATGCGTCATCATGCAGTGGATTTTTATTCCTGTTTATATACTGCAGAACATTGTGAACTGGACTGTGCTGAACAGTTATTTCAAGGTCTTCCTAATTGGACTCTGATTCAAAGACTGCTTTGGACTCTTTTTTAACTTTTGAGGAACTTTCATCTGCTGCCGCACAGCTCAGCTCGGGGCGCTCTCCTGGTGTTGATGGTTTGAAATCAGAGTTTTACAAACACTTTTGGAACCTTCTTGGTGTTGATCTCTATGAGGCTTTCTGTGAACGTTACAAGATGGATTTTTGCCAGTCACATGTCGCCGTGCTGTTCTTTCTTTGCTTCCTAAAAAGGGAAATTTGTCTTTGTTAAAGAATTGGAGGCCTGTTGCCTTATTGACCACGCAATATAAGATTTTGTAAAAATGTCTTGCTAACAGATTAAAGAAATATGTACATACAATAGTGCATAAAGATCAGACATATTGCATACCAAATCGGTCAATAATGGATAATTTGTTATTAGTACGAGATATTTTAGACATTTGTAAAACATTTAATTTAGGAGTTGGATTAGTTGCCCTAGATCAGGAAAAAGCTTTTTAGATCACAGTTATTTGTGATAAGTTTTTGGTTTTGGGGAAGGTTTTTTAAATTGGACACAACTTCTTTATGCTGGCGCTTCATGTATGGTAAAGGTTGGGGGCGGATTGAGTAAACCAATTTCTGTCCAAAGAGGAATACGGCAAGGTTGTCCGTTGTCTGGGTTGTTGTATAGTATTGCCATTGAACCTCTACTTTTTAATTTAAGAAAGACTTTATGTGGTTTTTCAATACCAAATGTGATTCAGAATGTAAATGTTTCTATTACTGCTTATGCTGATGATGTTGGTTAGCGGTGGGCAGGATATTAATGCTCTGTCTGAAGTCCTTCATTTATATGAGAAGGCTTCATCAGAAAAAGTAAATTGGGACAAAAGTGAGGCTTTTGGGCAGGTGAAGATGCTCTATGTTGTCTACCATCACTGCGAGGAAAGCTTATTTGGGGTAAAGAAGGGTTAAACATTTTGGGAGTTCATTTTGGTTCAAATGACTTTCAGAAGTTAAATTGGGAGGGCGTAATGGAGAAAGTTGCTACCCAAACTATCCTACAGGGGGAGAGTCTTGATTGTCAATAATTTGGTTGCTTCCACATTGTAGCACAGATTTCATGTGCTACAACCACTTGCTGGACTAGTGCAAGAAGTACAGAGAAAGTTGGTGACCTTTTTCTGGTCCGGACAACATTGGGTGCGTCCCTCTGTACTGTTTCTGCCGATACAAGAAGGAGGCCACAGTTAAGTGGATAAAAGATCCAGGCTAATGACTTTTCGTTTACAAGCTGCCCAGAGACTATTATACAACAATGATAGTGCTTGGTTTGACACCGCAGTGGCACTTTTGAGAAGAGCTGGTGGAATGGGACTTGATAAACATTTGTTTTTGATGAAGCTAGAAGAGTCTGAGCTTAAAGATCTTATTCCATTCTTCAAATCGGTTCTGGAAGCCTGGAAAGTTTTTGCATTTTCAAGATCGCCTGAAGTACCTGCCGGGATGTTGGCTAGGTGGCCTTTGTTGACGAGAATTTTATCCTCAGCTTTTCTGCGTTCACGTTTATTGTCTGCTGGGTGCACAAAGCTGGGGCATTTACTGCACACCAGTTTGGAATCCTTGGGCAAGAAAGCTGGAGTTCAGTCCATACGAATATTACAAAAGCTCACCGCAGAGGTGTTTGGAGAACTGGATTTTAACTATCGTTCTTTCCTGGACAATCCAGCTTTAATAGATGAATGGAGAAGTGGACGTGAGTATTGTTTTCACCCCCTGACTGTAAGAGCTGCTGTGGGGGACTGGCTGGAAGAGAGGAAAAGTCTACTGTCATTCAGAACTCCACAAATGGATGGATTCGAGTCAGTGGGAAAGAAAGCCCTTTATGTCACCTGTGTAAAGGTGTCTAATTTACTTTCTTTGACTTGGGTTTTTTCAACAAAATGGACAAAGGTTTTTGGTACCGACTCTTCCCCTAAAGCAGTGGTCACCAACCTTTTCAAGCCTAAGATCACATCCCAAGTCCAAATGTAAACCAAGATCTACCACTTGCAGAAAATTATGAAAAAACAAGGCCACAATGTAGTTCTACTTTGACATTCTTTGTTGCCTGTTAGTCACTAGCAAAATATTTATTTAACTATACAAATAGTATATAACTATACAAACTGTCAACTATAATTCAACATTTTCAACAGTAATATAACATTGTTAAGTATATATCCACAGGCTTATTACTCATATATAAACACAATAATCAGTCAATTACAGGCCTAAGCCAATAATGTACTGTTTCATTTTCCCTTTTAAAACAGGCTATTTCAAATCAAAATGGTAAGTGCAACTAGCATACAAAATATTATGACAACAGTCATCCTTCAATTCTTCAAAAATATTTTCACACAAATTACAGACCTACTACTATTCATTACCTCAATAATCAATCAATTACAGGCCTAAAACAGTCATGTACTTCTCTTTCCCTTTTCCAACAACATAAAACACAGATCTCCTTTTAACAATAGCCAATAAAGTGTTTTTCCTGGCTCAAAATGAGGCGGATGTGGTAAAATCGTAACACTAGGGGGGTCCGGGGGCATGCCCCCCCGGGAGAAAAATTTGTACATTTTAAAGATAAATTCATTAATCTGGTGCACTTTGAGTCACTCGAATCTGTTGTTAAAAATAAAAAATAATCCACCTGCCAACCACCCATATTCTTTGATTTAGATATCTGCATCTGATCATCACATTACAATTATTCAATTAAGCATGATAATATGGTAACATATCACACTGAAGTAGGCTGATTTAAAATTAACATTTATTTAAATTAAAAGTTCTTCTTTTGGCAAAATTACATTTCCTTTATAGCCTAAACAGAGGCTTTGGCCTACTCCCTTTAAACTTAAATTGTCAATGTTTCATTTTTGAAAACACTCTTATCGGAATAATTTTTTGTACCTTTATAAAGGGCATTTTCCCCCTAATTTTATTTAATGTACTGGTATGCTCTAAATTTCATTTCAAATTCTTACATTTTATCAATACATTCAATTAAAATAATAAGACAAGGCTGTTACCAATCAAATTAAATAATTTACATTGAAAAATTATAACTGTATTAAATGAGATTATGAGATTGTTTTGAATATTTTTTGAATATACAAATAAGGAATGTTGAAAAGAATGATACTTTGAAACTAAACCGCCAGTAGAAGCGGCAGGCGGCCGTCTTAATGAGCGAGTCATTGAATCATTCATTCAAACGATTCGTTCAAACGGCTGATTGATTCAGAATGAGGCGGTTTAATAATGGGTAACGTTAATTGAATCTTTGACTCGAGCGAATAGGTCAAAACGCTGAATCATTGATGAATAATGGATGAGTGTTGCTGTGAGATGCGCTGGTTCTGTTGTTTGGAACTATTTTCGCTGCTGAAACAGAACAAAAACAGTAATTGCGTCTAAAAATGTAAGTAACTTAATTTTAACTTTGTTTATTGAACTGTTATGAAATCAATATCTTGGTTTCAATCGTGCTTGCATTCAGGAAAACAGCACTCTGGTCGTGTGTAGTCTATAACGTTATATTGTTTCTTAACTATAAATTTGACGGAGGCGGCCGCCTCATAATTGTCTATGCAGGAAAACCCCTGCAGATTTCAAACTAGCAATAGCCTACTCCCTCACCGTTGTTTGCCATCGTTTCGTTAGCTTGCGTATCGTTAGCTTGAAGAGCTTGATGTGAGCGAAGTGTGAAGTGGCTGAGCTGGTTAAAGCGTGAAGCCTTGTTTATACTCGACGCGCCGCATGAGCCAAAAACGACGTCATTGTAACGGCGCGCGCGCCTCTGCATCCCCTAGACACGATTTACTACACACAGTAGGCTCACACATGGTGCATTTTTAATTAATAAATAATAATGAATACAAATATTGGTGTTTTTTCTCTGATTTTGAAAACTCTTCGCGATCGACTTAAAATGCTTCCAAGATCGACTTGTCGATCGCGATCGACGGGTTGGTGACTCCTGCCCTAAAGGTAGTTGGCGTATCCTGTACAAACGTCCGATTGACCAGCGGACTGGTGACCTCCAGTGGAGGATTGTACACGGATCTATAGCAACAAACAGACATGTGGCGCATCTTGATCCTAGTGTTAGTGTGGGTTGTCCTTTTTGTGCAGAGATTGAATCTGTCTTTCATTTGTTTATGCAATGTACAAGGTTGGTGGATTTGTTTTCCTTGTTAACAGAGTGGGTTACATCTTTGGGTGAAACTTTTTCTTTTCAGTTGTTTATCTTTGGTCCAAAGTACACTGTTGAGCAAAAGAATGTGTTGGTTTTACTTAATTTCGTATTTGTTAATGCAAAATTAGCCTTCTGGAAAACTAGAAAAAATAAGATATCAGGACAAGGTGCAGTAAATCCAATTTTTATGTTTTTGGGCCTAGTGGGTTCTCGTCTCAGAGTGGAATATACGTATTACAAATTGGTTGGGCGTTTACAACTTTTTATGGAAATTTGGGGGATAAACCATGTCTTATGTACAGTTTATGAAGATGAATTGGTGCTGAAATTGTAGTTTGTTCATTTATTTATTTGTTTTTTTGTGGTGAACAAATATGATTGGTTATAACTGTTGTTAAAATAAAAGTGTGTTAATCCTCTCTCTCTCTCTCTCTCTCTCTCTCTCTCTCTCTCTCTCTCTCTCTCTCTCTCTCTCTCTCTCTCTCTCTCTCTCTCTCTCTCTCTCTCTCTCTCTCTCTCTCTCTCTCTCTCTCTCTCTCTCTCTCTCTCTCTCTCTCTCTCTCTCTCTCTCTCTCTCTTATATACACAGACAGACAATTTCACACCTAAATATCTTTCAACCACATTATGTTTATATTTATTTGCAGATTTGTACGATTGAGACCAAAACTTCCCTCAACGATTGTGTTCTCGAAGAAAATGGGATTGGTAAAAATCATTATCCTGTCCTATGAGTTTTTACTTTGTATGCATAAACAAAACATAGCTTTACTTTAAAATGTAATTAGTTTTATCTGTCATGAATAACAGAAAACAGAAAATCAATAATAAGCCTTGAATGTGGTGATTTGTGTTATTTAACAGAACGCAGTGAGCTCCGGATTGTCCTGGTTGGAAAGACCGGCGTTGGGAAAAGTACCACTGGAAACACCATCCTGGGAGAAGAAGTTTTTGAATCCGATTTTTCATTTTCATCTGTAACCCGATACTCTGAAAAGAAATCTAAGATTATTAATGGAAGAAAAATTACAATTATTGACACTCCTGGTATTTTTGACACAAGTTTGAGTCATGAAGAGATAGAGAAAGAAATTAAGACGTGTATATCTTATTCTGCTCCTGGTCCACATGCCTTTCTGATTGTTCTTAAATTGGAAAGATACACAGAAGAAACTGCAAAAGCAATAGAATACATTGAAAGATTATTTGGTAAAAAGGCATTAGGTTACGCCATGGTGCTGTTCACTCATGCAGATCAACTTAAAGGCCAGGACATTAAAACACTTGTGCGCAGTAGTCCAGAAGTACGAGAAATTGTCAAGAGATGTGGGAGACAATATTTTGCGATTGATAATACGATACAGGATTCAGAACAGGTTATGCGGCTGCTACACAAGATTGATGAAATGGTTCTTGATAATGGTGGAGAATATTACAGTAATGCCATGCTTCAGGAGGCAGAGAGAGCGATTGAGGAAGAGACACAACGGATCCTGAAAGAGAATGAAGAACAACGAATGAGGGAATTAGAGGCTCTAAAGTACAAGTTTCGAGGGGAAGAACTAGAGAAAAGGCGAGAAGTAGTAGCAAAGGCTCAAGTGGATAATGCAAGAGATCAAGCTGTTAAAAAAAGCGTCTTTAACAATCTAGTAAAGCGGATTAAGGAGATGGCCAATTATATAGTTTCATTGTTTATCTCCACTCAAAAAAAACCTTAATTACTTAATTCAATTATGGACAGTGGTTTCACACAAGAAAATTATTTTTTATTAACATTAATGACATTTTTTTAATCTATGTAAGCTCCTTGTGTGAGAAAGAATCTATGTGTGAAATAGTAATGTTCAAACAACTCAATGGAATTGCTTCCCTGTAACTTAAATCGGTTAAGTTTAGTGAACATGCTTTTATTTTTCAGTGAAGTTTTAAATAAACTAAAGTATGTAGGATTTACGTGATTTCTCAAATGAATTTCTAGACTATAGCTAGCTATTAGCTTATAATAACACTTAACATATTAAATGCCAAGATTTATATGCTCTTTCATCAACAAGATTAACCTTTTTTTTTTTTTGCAACATATTTTTATTGAAAACTGAACTTTTGCAATTTAGATTTTAAACATAACAGGAAACAAGAAAGGAAAAAGACATTACATAACCAAACCCCAAACCCTCCCCCACCCTGGCTTACTTAAAATCATATACAAATATAAAATATAACAGGACTTAGACTGGTAAGACCTGCAAGTCTGCAAAACATGATAGAAAAGGTGTGTTTCCTCTCATTGCGTATTTATTTTTCTCAAGTTTTAAGAAATGCATAGCATCAGTAAGCCACTGCGAAACTGATGGAGGATTTGGAGATTTGCACTGTAAGAGAATTCGACGTCTGGCCAATAAAGATGCGAATTTCTTTCTGTGCCCAATTAAATTGATCTGATTACAATTACACACTATCAAGTCTTCCCCTTTCATAATTTTCTCAAAAACACATACAATGACACTTAATTTCAACATTTATTCTCCCTTAATCCAGCTATATGCAAAGCGGCAGTCTGTGTCAACGTCTTTCCACATCTGCAAAATTGGCGCCGGAATACACGCACAAAATCTACCGCGCATGCTCTCACAAGCTCTTCTTTGTTTTTTCTGCACATTAGGCACGCTTTAACGCACTGTTGACTCTCACTGGTTTAGTGACGTCTTATTTCAAGTAAGTGTCACTCAAACGATTGAGTAACTTGTTATTTGCACCCTGCAATTGACTGTTACCCAACAAAACCTAGTAAGTAGTATGTATTTTATATTACTGAGTAAAGTTAACTAAGTATATGCGAGTCAGGAAAGCTATTGGATTTTACAGCCGTATTCTTGTAAACAGTGAAAATATATGAGAAATTACAGCATGGGAGAACATATATTGAGCTTCACAAACTACAGAATAATTAGACATGTGAGAGAAAAAGTGAACAAAAAGTACAAAACGTTACAATCTAATTGTGATGGGGAAGCCCATTACTTACTCTAATAATTATATTTGGGTCGTAACTCGTAAGCCAATTGGCTGTCACCATAGTGATATAAAAGGGCGATAGGTCTGTGCCTAGGGCAGAACTTCTCAATTATTTTCTGTTACGCAGAAACCTTGGGATAAACAAAGACACTAAAGTTAGCGTAGATGCCATTCTTCTTATGATGTAGCGAGTACATCTGGATTTAAGGGAAGTGTTCCCAGTTCCGGCTGACCTAATCTATGCAGCCTAACATTAAATTACAGAAGTCAATAAAGTATTATGTGTACGATAGGTCAAAGAGATGTGTTTTTAGTCTAGCTTTGAACTGACAGAGTGTGTCTGCTTCCCGGACAATGGTAGGAAGATTATGCCAAAGTTTTGGTGCTAAATAGGAAAAGGATCTACCGCCTGCAGTCGATTTAGATATTCTAGGTATTATCAACTGGCCGGAGTTTTGAGATCGCAATAGACGTGAAGGACTATAACGCTTTAAGAGCTCGTTCAAGTACTGCGGAGCTAAACCATTTAGTGCTTTGTAAGTAATCAGCAATATTTTAAAATGTATACGATGTTTAATAGGGAGCCAATGCAGTGTTGACAGAACCGGGCTAATATGGTCATACTTCCTGGTTCTGGTAAGAACTCGAGCTGCTGCGTTTTGAACTAGCTGTAGTTTGTTTATTAAGCGTGCAGGGCAACCACCCAGTAGAGCATGTTACATCAGCGATTGTCTGTGTTTCTGTATCTCTTCTGTTTCGTGTCTTGTTGTTATCCTAGGTTACTTCCTGTGCTTAATTGATGGGGATGCCGGCGCGCGAGGCGTGTCCCAGCTGATGGCATAAAGAGGGCTTGGGTGTGGCGAGAGGACGCGGGAGAGACCGGCTTTGTTCGGTGTTTGAATTGTAGTTTGTATGCAAATGTAAACTTATGGAGTTAACAAATAAATCCTTAGACATTTGTTTGCCGAACTTTCTCCTGCCTTTCTTTGTTACTGTCTGAGAGCCAGTATGTAACAAGCATTACAATAATCTAGCCTTGATGTCATGAACACATGAACTAATTGTTCTGCATTTGTTAATGAGAGCATATGGCGTAATTTAGATATATTTTTAAGATGGAAAAATGCAGTTTTACAGATACGATATAAAAGAAATACGATATACGAAGAAAACGATATAAATACTGTTCGTTTTCTCACAAAAACCGCTCGTTTCGTGTCTTAGGCCTTCAATGTGTACTTACATTTACGAGTCATTAAATCATGTTTAATTTGGACTTCTCTGTGCTGCTCTTTGAGGTGGTGACCATAGACCTGCATTATATGACTGACAGACAAGAACGGTTTGACCTAAAAATATAAAAATTGAAACTACTGTGGAAACAAAGACACCTACATCTTGGATGCCCTTGAGGTAAGCTAAAACATACCAAAAATTAATTTCAAAGTGAACTATCCCTTTAAATGCCAATCCCAATGCATCTTTTTCATTATCTACATGTATATTAAAATCACCAACAGTTAGTACTTTATCTGCAGCCAATGCTAATTCTGATAGAAAGTCTGCAAATTCTTTGATAAAGTCTGTATGTTGCCCTGGTGGCCTGTACACAGTAGCCAGCAGAATTCTCAAATGTGATTTATCGTTTACACTATATATTTTTACATTAAGCACCAACACTTCAAAAGAAGTATATTTAAAAACTAGATTTCTTAGTGGTTTTGAAAATATTACTATAAATTACAGCAACACCTCCCCCTTTGCCTTTCAGACGAGGTTCATGTTTATAACTGCAATCTTGTGGGGTTGACTCATTTAAAGTAATATAATCATTTGGTTTTAACCAGGTTTCTGTCGAACACAGCACATCTAGATTATAATCTGAAATCATATCATTAACTATGAGTGATGTTGGAGTAAGGGATTGAATATTCAGCAACCCAAGCTTTATCATTTGCTCATCTGTATTATATCTGTTTTTTATTTGTTGAACATCAATTACATTTTTAACCTGACGTTTTTTGGATTTCCAAATTCGGGGAACAGACACAGTCTCTATATGATGATATCTAGGTGAAAGAGCATCTATGTGATGGGGTTTATCTGACCTTGGTGACGTGTGGCCGCTAGCAGACGGTCGGTTTAGCCAGTCTGTCTGCTTCCTGACCTGAGCCCCAGATTGTCATGTTTTATCTCTAAGACTATGAGCCAAATTACTAGAGAGAAGAGCAGCACCAGCCCAGGAGGGATGGATACCATCTCTTTTCAACAGGTCAGGCTTGCCCCAAAAACTTTTCCAATTGTCTATGAATTCCACATTATTACGCGGACACCACTCAGACAGCCAGCGATTCAGTGAGGCCAATCTACTAACTATCTCATCACTCCTGCGTACAGGAAGAGGGCCAGAGCAAATTACAGTGCCTGACATCATACTTGCGAGTTCACACACCTCTTTAATATTAATTTTCGGAGTCGAATTAACTGGCAGAGTCGAACATGACATGAATAATGATCTTAGAGAATTTACGATTAGCATTAGCCAGCACTTTTAAATTTGCTTTGATGTCAGGCGCTCTGGCTCCCGGCAAACATGTGACTATGGTGGCTGGTGTCTCTATTTTCACGTTCCGTGTGATCGAATCACCAATTACCAGGGCACAATCAACAGAATTCTCATTATTCAAAAACAATGATAGAAATAATGTCTCTTCTGTATTAGAAAAATAAATAAATAATAAATAACTAAAAACAATACCTCCAAATTGAACAAAAATAGCTCTCACAAACTTACAAAAACTCCCTCTTTATCCTGTTTTTCTTCCTCGTCCTTCTTGTTTGCCCATCTATATTTTGCTGTAGAGCTTATCTTTCCCAGCAGTGTTTTGTTGCTTAACAAATAAGCATGAAAGTCTAATGACCCAATGAAAAATTACAGGGCTCTCAAGTTTTGAAGACAGGCAAGAGTGACATCCCCCAATATGTCAATCATCGTGTAATAACGAAAATATGACTAGGCCTAGACTAGCTACTTGTTCTGAGCAGGTGTTGTCAGTGAACAGGCTTTAAACTGTTACAGACATTAATGGAAACCTGATGCTAATTTTCTGGGAAACATTATAGCAGTCAAGTTGTCATTGTTTGTGTCAAACAATTTGTGAATTTGTTTAACATTAAAAAAAGAAGATCATGACCTACTGTGCTCAAAGTGATGCTCGAGCTCCAGTGGTTTCCTCTGCGGGTGAACGAAGCTTTTGGAAGATGTTGTAGCAGAATCACGTGAACAATTCCAGGAAATGCTTTTTTTTTTCATTGGTTGTTGCGTTAAATCTTACCCAGATACAATAGTGCTATTTTCTGATTGGCTATTGTGTAGCCCTTTTCATTTTTCATTTTTTGATAAGTGGCAGGCTCGATTAATAACTGCAGGGGAGACGCGCTTGAATCCTGCCGGACCGGTTCCACAGTGAGAGCAGCGCGGCCAGAGACATTTTGGGCGCTGCGGCTTATTAAATATATTATAAATTGTTTTTCCGCGTGAGAAATACAATGTTTGGCGGGAGTGCGTGACAAAGGATTGAAATAAGTGACCGTCTCGCTCAATGTGTGACACCTGAGAGCCCTGAAATAATGAAAACCAGGACATTTTCATCACTTTATAAAAAACAGACAGGACAGGACGTGAAAACAGGATGTTTGGTCACCCTATGTAAAGAGTTCACTATGCTAGGCGCATCCAAAATAGTATCTAAAGCTCTAGTACTATCCTTACTATGCTCAATTAAAGTTTGGACGCGTGTCTCTAGTTCTGAAATCTTCTCTGTCAGCCTGACTGTCTCCTTGCATTGATCACATGTAAATCCTATATTGCCATCGGAAAAGGCTATACTAAACATATGGCACGTGACACAGGTGACAATAACAGGACATTACTCACCGTGTTTGTTGACTGATTCTTACCTGAGCTTTTATGAACTCAAAGGCGCAGGCGCGCGAGAGAAAATAAATAAATAAATGAGCGCACGAGTGGCGCGTTAACAGGCTAACGTTAGCGAGATACTAGCGTGCTGTGTTAACAATAACGGAAGCTAGAGATGTAAGGTTAATCTGAGATGTTGGGTAAGCTGTATTTAGTAGTATATAGGGATGGCTGCCGCGAAACAGTTGTTCCGAAGCTGTGCAAGATCCCGAAGCGCAGATGTTTCGAAACACTGATTCGAAGCGTGATTCAAAACACCCATGTCACGTGACTATGGCCAAACGAAGCCTCGAAGTGTTTCACTAAGTGTTTCATCAGGTGTGATCTGCCGAATCAGCGTTCGATTGACACGGTTGGGAACAGACCACACAATCGCACATCTGTATAAAAGTGAAATCAACGCATATTGACCTCGTGGGTTTTTGTGAGAGGAGTTTGATTTTGAGATAGCAGATTTTTGGTGATATAGTGACATTTATAGTGCGATTTGTTTAGTTATATTTAGGCTTACATTTAAATTTACACAACACATAGGCTAGAGACACAGAGTAGGCTATACATATATTGACACATTAATAGATACATAGATATAAATATATATAGACAGCTAGATTAATAGATAGAACATATATAGATAGATTAAAGATAGGCTACATATATAAATACATAGATAGATTATAGATACATTTATAGATAGCCTACATATCTAAATACATAGATTATAGATACATATTATATACATATCTAAATACATATATAGATTGTAGATACATATATCTAATTACATAGATAGATTAGAGATACATATCTAGATAGATAGATGAAATGGAGGCTCCCCAGAAGAGATGCCGTACATCTGTGGTGTGGGAGCATTTCCATTTAGAAACCCCAAATAAAGTGAGATGTGTATTGTGATCGGCAGCTCGCCTACTGCAACAATACATCATCCAGTAGAAACACAGGACAGTTTATGGGAACTTTTTGATACTCGTATCCATCAAACCCAGATGATAGACAATGCTACAGCTGATGCCACAGTGCAAGTGAAAAAATACATCAACGATGCGTATTTGCCCAGAACTCATGATCCACTAACTTACTGGAAAGAGAGAGCAGTAATCTTTCCTCATTTGTATGTATTAGCTAAAAAATATCTTTGCATGCCAGTAACAAGTGTCCCTTGTGAGAGGATTTTTACAAAGGCTGGAGAAATTATCTGTAAAAAAAGAAGTAGGCTAAGTCCTTCCACAGCAGAGAAAATAATATTTTTGAATAAAAATATGTAAAAAAGTGAGACATTGTGGCTTGATTTATTTTATTAATATTCATTTTGCAGGACCAAAATAACATTATGCACAGTGAGGAGCCTATAGGTTGCAAGATTCACATATTAGAAAAGTACAATAATAAAAAAAAAAACAAATTTTCATGGCTCGTCAAGGTTGTTTCAGATCAACACCTGCAAGTGACCTCTAGGTGTCACCGTGGAGACGGGTGTCGGATTGATTCGAAGCCTCGAAACAATATGGACCATTTGGTTCAACTGTTTTATTGCTTCACGAAGCCTCGATCTGCCCATCACTAGTAGTATAACAACCAGAAATGATAGTAAATGATGGCTCAAAACAGAAAGAAATACGAGGCGCAGGCGGAGCTTACAACCTCGAAGCAAAGAAACACACAGCAGGCAGCTGTTACCATACGTGGTGTACCAGGAATCACGAGAAGACAGGAGGAACTGGAAACAGGATTTTTAATAATAAGGAACTCAGGAACATTAACACACGCTTGACATAAACGAGAACGGACCAGGAATGAGGG